TTGAGCGAGCAGGGAAAGGAAGGTTGTGGGTTGTCTTGGCTGTTGTTGACAGAAATCACAATAGCGTGATATATCAAATGAATAAGTTCACAAGGGCCGTGATGAGGGTTCGGACTTACGTCCAGGATGATCCCAGGTGCAGCTTAGTAGACTGCGCCACGACATGGTATAAGAATTGCAACCGGGATTGCTGCTGCTCTCACACGGATCCCGCAGTGTCACGGAGACACAAACGTTTTTTTGTAAATTGTGGAAATTGTGTAAAACCCCGGTTTGTGTCTCTGAGAGACTGCGGGATGCAGTCGATTAATTCGCGTCTGGGATCATCCTGGACGTAAGTTCGAACCCTCATCACGGCCCTAGTGAATTTATTCAGTACCATATAGTGTCTATTAGAGAGGACATGTCAAAGGAAGAGAGGGAAGCAGCAAACATAATCAGAGAAAATCTGATCTGAAATTGAAATTGAAATAAGTTTATTGATGTAAAATACACACAAAGGGATGAGGTAGCTCAAGCTATTCTCACCCCGTTCAGTACATATGAATCTGGCAGCAGAGTCTGAGGAACACGAAAATAGTAGAGCCGACCAGCTTAACAATGAAACAGAGAGTACAACAGAGGGAGATATTAGGGCTGTCCAGCCTAATGAGGCATCTACGTAATGACTAGACAAGAGTGGTCCACCACACCCTCCCCCCCCCCTACTTTGTCTATCGAATACGGAAATACAGCCACATAGCACATGATCATATGTTCCTCAGGAGGGGAAACAAAAGCAGTCAAACTGTCATGAGCAGCATAAAAAGTAATGTACACAAATGCAGATGTAATTGATAATAAAGAAACAGAGTTGCAGGAAAGAGTGACAGAAGCATGACCCCACATGGTCAAGATAATGGAAACAAAACTGGCAAGCATTATAGGAAGTGCAATCTCGCCACAAGAGCATCAAGTAATAAGGAGAGAGAGAGGGTGCACAGAGGTGGTGTAGCTCTCTTGTTACAGCTGCACTCAAGCTGTGAAGAACCAAAAATAGCATCAGTGACTGACCAACAAGAGTATATACTCGGAACAGCAACAGTGGGAGGCGTGAAGAGGGAGCAGTGAGACATAACCCCCACCAAACAAGAGACGGCCTAGGGAGAGAATACGACAGATGCAATGAGAATTGTCTGAAGATGATGGAAAACACAGCCAAAGTAGCAAGGGGAAACAAGACCTAAAATCCTAATACTGTGGGACTTACTTCAACCACAGAGAACTAGACTGGATACATAGGGAGCCCCGCGGGAGTGATGAGACATAGAGAGAAAAACTGTTAAACATAACAGACAAACATTTCTTAAAGCAACATGTCACAGAACTCAAAAGAGTAAGAGGAGACGCTCCACCAGCATCACTAGACCTGCTCTTTACGGCGGTTAATGCAAAGTTAATTTCGTGTTAAAGAAAAAGATAAATGGCAGGATAATGTTATGTTAGGTCACGTTTGTTAGAAAGTTTAGAACATTAAGCTTATGCTTGAAACTTTCTAACAAACGTGACCTAATATAAGCTTACCCTGCCTTACATCTTTCATTTTCTTCCCCTTGTTTTCCTCTTACGATCCCTTTCTTATTCCTATTACTATCCCCTTTATTACACCTCACCTTTCGTACCTTTTATCTTACTTTTTCTTCCTCTAAGATTTCCTTCTCACCTCTCTCTTGCCTATTTATAGCCTTCGTCTTCTTCCCTCATCACAATCGACTTGAGAATGGTCCAGGACGGACCGAAACGTCGTCGTCCCTTCACTTTCTAGTGTGTGGTCCGGTCAACATATTTCAGCCACGTTATTGTGACTCCTCGCCTGCTTACAAGGGCGTAGTTAATTTGTAGAGGATTTAAAATATTAATAAAGTTGAAAGGTTATTTGCTTTCTACCTATTTTGTCGGCTATTGTTACTTTCAATTACAACTTGGCAGAGTTCTGGGGCCCCTCTGGAGTCCCAAACCAATAATACGTACACAGTACTGTAAGAATTTTTTTTCGATTTTCTGAGAGATTTCCAGAGTCAAATTGCATTTTTCAGTCGAGGACTTTTTTATTTTGTTATATTTGCTTTAATCAGCTGTTGTGGTGTTAATAAAAGACAGTTTACATCACTTTTAGAACGTTCTGTCCAGGACTTTTATTTGTATGCCTAATAATAGTTAATATGAACAAATTGATGGAGTTATGTGATCTCCTCCGTGTCCCTCTCATCCCAACACTCTCCTGTGTATTTGTGAAGCATGTTTGCTGGTGAAGTCTCCTCCTGAAGGTTAACCAGTTTATTTGATAGAAATGTGAACGACACGTTCTTTTGGCAATTCAAAGAACTCTCTCGTGTTGCTGTATTGAAAGATCAATTGAATTCTCAGCATTGTAATGTAAATTTTACGGCTGAATCTGAAGTTAACAAATCTTTGACATTTTCTGACGTTAACCTAGTTAACGATAATTTTCATGCTTTTGTTCCTGATTTATTTAAGAGGAATTTAATCAAAACCAATGTTAACAAGAACCCATGTTAACAGAACCAATGTTAACAACAGGAACCAATGTTAACAGTAGGAACCCATGTTAACAATAGAACCAATCTTAATAATAAAACTAATGTTAACAGAACCCATGTTAACAACAGGAACCAATGTTAACAAGAGCTTATGCTCTCTCTTTGCTCAGTGTGTTGTGGTTTCTATGACGAAATGAAGTTCTTAACATATTTTTTTCAAACAATTGTTATCTTCTTCATCTGAGAAGGGGACCCTTAGCCTCGGAGAAAAGCACACAGAACGCTTAGAGGGGATTTTTAGGTCCCCTTCAATACGGTTTCTATGTTCTTTTGTCTTACCACCCTCTTCCTTTGGTGTTTTGTTGTGTGTATGTATAATATACATACATATATATATATATATATATATATATATATATATATATATATATATATATATATATATATATATATATATATATATATATGTGTGTGTGTGTGTTCCCTTCGGGAATCATTAATTTCAAAATGAATATATAAACCATTGATATAACAAACATTTTGTTTCAGATTCCTTACTTTAAAAAGCATGACGTTTCGAATACTTCTCGTATTCATCATAAGATCTAAAAGAAAAACAGAACTCACAATAAAATAACTAGTAAACAAAGAACTCATACTGAACAAAATTATCTATCAGAAGAAAAGAGATATCAAATAACACTGGTTATAAAACAAAACACTTAAGCTTACTTGAAGTGATCAAAGAGAAACTAAATATCACATGGATAAGAAAAGCTAATTTAAAAAATAATAATAAAAAAACTAATTAAACAAACCACAAATTTTAACTTACGTGAAGTAATCAAACGAAGTGTAACTAGATAATTAACATATGAACAATCAACGCTGTTACAACACTTGCGATAATGATGACACACTTAGAAAATTTGATAAATTACACACAGATAATCAACGCTAATACAATACTTATAATAATAACTACACACTTACAAAAAATGTATATAAAACACAAGCAGAATAGAAAACAATTGTAAAATACTCGCCACAACCTTATAGAAAACATAAATATCAAACAAAACTTAACACTAAAAATGTATTGTACGTTTTAATTAAACAATTTTAACAATATACAATATAAACACTTGAAACAAGTAAAAAGAGACAAATCATGGTAGACTAAAGCAAAAATTAAAAACACCCGCATGAACTATAAATCAAAATACAAGGCCTACTGTGCATTATACAGTGTACAATTGAACAGCCGAAAGGTTGTTATTTAACAACAACAATAACAACCTTTCAGCTGTTCAATTGTACACTGTATAATGCACAGTAGGCCTTTTATTTTGATTTATAGTTCATGCGGGTGTTTTAATTTTTGCTTTAGTCTACCATGATTTGTCTCTTTTTACTTGTTTCAAGTGTTTATATTGTATATTGTTAAACTTGTTTAATTAAAACGTACAATACATTTTTAGTGTTAAGTTTTGTTTGATATTTATGTTTTCTATAAGGTTGTGGCGAGTATTTTACAATTGTTTTCTATTCTGCTTGTGTTTTATATACATTTTTTGTAAGTGTGTAGTTATTATTATAAGTATTGTATTAGCGTTGATTATCTATGTGTAATTTATCAAATTTTGTAAGTGTGTCATCATTATCGCAAGTGTTGTAACAGCGTTGATTGTTCATATGTTAATTATCTAGTTACACTTCGTTTGATTACTTCACGTAAGTTAAAATTTGTGGTTTGCTTAATTAGTTTTGTATTATTATTTTTTAAATTAGCTTTTCTTATCCATGTGATATTTAGTTTCTCTTTGATCACTTCAAGTAAGCTTAAGTGTTTTGTTTTATAACCAGTGTTATTTGATATCTCTTTTCTTCTGATAGATAATTTTGTTCAGTATGAGTTCTTTGTTTACTAGTTATTTTATTGTGAGTTCTGTTTTTCTTTTAGATCTTATGATGAATACGAGAAGTATTCGAAACGTCATGCTTTTTAAAGTAAGGAATCTGAAACAAAATGTTTGTTATATCAATGGTTTATATATATATATATATATATATATATATATATATATATATATATATATATATATATATATATATATATATATATATATATATATATATAAACTGAAAACTCACACCCAGAAGTGACTCGAACCCATACTGCCAGGAGCACTATGCAACTGGTGTACAGGGCACCTTATCCACTCGACCATCACGACCGGACAAAAGCTGATGGTAGCCTAGGCTATTTCCCCATCAGTCCGCCGGCACTCTGATGGTAATCTTGGGCATAGTATTTTATCAAATCACCTCATTCTTTGGGGCACACGTGAGGAACACAAATGTATGCCTGGGGACCATTCAGGCTTGTTCGCATATATATATATATATATATATATATATATATATATATATATATATATATATATATATATATATATGTAATATATATATATATTATTAAATAATTTCGGTAATAACCTTATTAAAATACTTTCGTTGTGTTTTCAGGTTTTTCTCAATTAACATCTAATATTTTAACAATAATATTACATTCACATTAAGTTTGAAATGTTAGAATGATGCTTAAAAATCACAGTAGGAGACACTGGAAGATGTGTTTTCCAAATCCTGGTATTTTAGCCTGCTCCTCACACTGTAGTCATGAGAGCATGATACCATGTGTCAGCCAGTCATCACTATATTGGCGAAAGTGACGCTGTATTCTACGAGATCATGATACATCCCGCTTATCACCATATAACTACATTTTCCCTCACAGTGGTCATAGCCCAAGAGCAGCAGCACTATGATATTAAGTCACTGTTTTTCTCAGGCATAATTTTATTTCTCAAGGCATTACAACACTCTAGTAATCACTATATTTAACGCATTTCTACATTTCTTCAAGGCAATACTAAATTCCTTTAATTGCCACTACATTAAGGCGACATTACATTTCTGAGTTGCTATGCCCTTTACATCACCGTATTCCGTGTATCACCACGTAAATACTATATTCAAAGGCGTCACTATGTATATAGTCCTCATAAATTACTAGTCATTAACAAGCTCTTTCATATCTCAAGTTATCAACATAGTTAACATTCTCTTTGGTCTAGCACTGTCACTTGGCAGTAGTGATGGCAGGGCGGCCTGCCATCTTGGGGGGTTGCCATGGGTTATAGCAGCAGTTACATCTGGCACACTGGGTCTCGCCCTCTGGCGCTAGTTGCCCTCAGGATCTGCCATTAAGGGCTTACTGACACTGAAGGCTGATAAGGGGATAGGTGGTAATCAAGTGGTTGACTGTGGGCAACCAGGTGGCCTCCATGTGGTAGGTAATGATACCTAAATGGCTGGCACCCAGTTATCTGGGAGAGGGCTAAGTGGTAGCTGGAAGAGTGTCGTTGGAGGCCTCAACCTGGACGAATCTTGGATCTCTCCGCCAGGGTCTACAAAAACGCATCTCGTTGTGCCTAATGCGCAGTATCCTGGCCAGGTTTTGTGGCTTGTAGCGTCGTACGTAGCTGCCCCTGCTGAGTACCAGGCGCACCTCGCGGCCTCGGGTGACCTCCGTCACCCCCATAACCAGGTACGAGCGGCCATGCCGCAGAAGAGGGCAGTGACAAGGGTTGGTGACCCAGAGGAACTCCTTGTGGAGCAGGGGGACCGTGTTCTTGTAGGACTGGTGGACCAGGACCTCGTACCGTCGCTCCCCGCCCACCGCCTCGCTGTTCAACACCTCCACCCGCGACACTGTGGGCAAAACGGATAGTTACTGACGTGCATTTTATATGTATCTTATGAACACACACATCTACAACAGGAACACTGGGGGAATTATTGTGTCAATGGCTCTTGCCTACTTATATATTAATTCTATCCTGATGTGTAATTACCACACTACAAAGCGTAATTAATAATTTTTTCCTTTAACTCTTTAATTATCTTCTGCGCCAGGTATGTAAGCCTGTTCTTGATTAATTTTTGAGGCTAGCTAAGAGACTGACAGGCTCCACGAAAAGTGTAAATAGCAGAGTGTAATATACTTAAGAGAGCGTAGACAGGTAGACTAGAAATACTGTATTGTCACAATTTATCATTCTTTTTAACGCCTGTCAAAGTTTCAATGTATAGCATGAAGAATAGACTTGACGTCGGCCCGAGTGGAACAGTAAATGTTAACCCACACATTAGACAGATGAGGGATGCCGACATTCCGAGACAACTAATACAATGTTAAGGGTCTAGTCTCGACTCAGCCATACAGTAGTCACACGAAATGGTCCTCGAGAGTCAGTTTAGTGCCTCTCCTGTATCATGTGTGTAAGGGCGCTCAAGGTACTCTATTCTGAACCGAGTTCTGTGACAGCTTAATTTTCCCTCAAGTTAGGGCGCCAACCTTAGTGCCACCTACGTTACCTTCTCATGGAAACATTCTATGAATGAAAAGTATCTTTGAGAATACCTGTTGTATGTCTCAGCCAACAAAGACGCCAGAGTATTCTATGACAAAATTATACAGGGAAGGGGGGGGGGGGGGAAGGAATGGAATGGAACTATCAGGAGAATGCGCCAGGCCATTATGACTATATAGCACTAGGAAGGGGAGTCAGGATAAGGATTTGGGATGGGACGGGGGGAAGGAATAGTGCCCAACCACTTGGACGGTCGGGGATTGAACGCCGACCTGCATGAAGCGAGACCGTCGCTCTACCGTCCAGCCCAAGTGATTGGACGAGGGGGGGGGGAAATGTAATTCTTTGAGGAGGGATGGGGGGGGGGTGTTGGTTAGGTGATTAATTACCCTAAATGATTGAGTATAGCAACTGCCTCAATATTTTGCTAAGCAGTATACCCAAACCATCTTGACAGGTGTGTTGTTATGACTGCAGGAAAGCCTCAAGGCAGCAATATGGCGATACTTCGGCTGCCACTCTACAACAGAACACATATGGTCGTTAACGGAGACTTTAAAGCAACAGGAAACCTCAATGGTGGATGAGGCTGACCGTCGCCTCGCTCTCACCTCTACTGTCTACCTTAATTACAAGGTGTTCTGCTTGGCACGGATGCACAAAATGGAAATGATTATGTAAATAATTGTTTGTATACAATTTTCAGCCTTTTATGCCTTTACCTTTCAGCCCCAATTTTATAAGGGGCCTCGTAGCCTGGTGGATAGCGCGCAGGACTCGTAATTCTGTGGCGTGGGTTCGATTCCCGCACGAGGCAGAAACAAATGGGCAAAGTTTCTTTCACCTGTTTCCTAGCAGTTAATAGGTACCTGGGAGTTAGTCAGCTGTCACGGGCTGCTTCCTGGGGGTGGAGGCCTGGTCGAGGACCGGGCCGCGGGGACACTAAAGCCCCGAAATCATCTCAAGATAACCTCAAGATATTATGTTCATTGTTATTTGAACTTCCCCTAATATATATATATATATATATATATATATATATATATATATATATATATATATATATATATATATATATATATATATATATATATATATATTGGTTTATTTTTATTTGAATGACGTAGAGGCGAAGTGTGCCAGTAATGCAGTAGGAGGAGACGTGTCCCCCCAAAAATGGATCAGGTGATCCATTGGCAAGGTGATACAGTCTTGGCGAATGTTTCACCTTGTGTAGAGGGAAGTAATGTCAGTTTAACAGAAAACTGGGCGGGAACAATAACAGAATATTGATGTTAAATGTGGTACAGCAAATGCCAGTTCGGAGAGGTGCGTGGTTGTGATGAGTTGTGTTTGTGTGTGTGTGATAACAATCCACTAACATCACCTCGCAGCACTTTGGTGAAGAAAGTGATGGTGGAGCCAGACTCCAGCAATCACTGAAAGTTGCGCCAACTTGGTGGCGCAACTTTCCATCATCGAACCATCGCTCTCTGGTGGCCTGCCAACAAGTGGCAGGCCACCAGAGAGCGATGGTGGCCCTCGGGTAAATTCAGGTGTGACCATCAGACACTCGACTAGTGCCCCACGGCCACACAAGGCTGGGTTAGGTGTGGTAGCGGCCCTTACTTACAATACCAGTATTGTCACTCACCAAAGTTACTTGTGCAGAACATCTGTTTAGTTTGATGTCTTGGCTTCTCACATGGTTGACAGGTGTCAGGCATGACTGGCTTCGTACTGCCTCCCTTTCCCTTCTTCCTTTCTCCCTTGCCTGACTTCTCTTTTCTTTCCTTCCCTTTTTTGCCCCGGTGACTCTTTTGTTTTTTCCCCTTTTTGCTCTTTCTAACTTTCTGGGCCTTACTCTTGCTTGGCTTGATTGGTTTGTGGCGCCGCTGCGACGTGTCGTGCACCTCATTGTCTGAGCGGCGGGGCACTGGGGGTCCCTGAGGCGGCCGCTGGCCTGCAGGTAGCCGATGGTCCACGTTGATTCTGGCCAGTACAGCTGGTCGTGGTGTCGTTGTGGTAGTGGTGGTCGTGGTGGTGGTGGTGGAAGAGGTGTTGGAGGTTGTGAGGGTAGTGTCCGAGGTGGTGGTGGTGGTGGAGACGGGGGTGGGAGCAGCCGCTGTTGACACCTGGGAGTTCGAGGTCCAGTACTCGTAGTGGATGCCTGGGTTGTGTTCCCGCAGCAGCACCTGAGGTGGGAGACACACACAGGTATTACCACGTGATGCCCTTCATGCACAGTGAGGGTAAAGCCCACAAGGACACACAAGTGTCTGTATTAACATCTATGTAACTATTGCTAAGGTACTCAATGAAATTAAATTTAACTTAGAGAGGTATCTAAGAGTGCCTCCTGAGGCACTCTTCCGGTCATTTCCCCAGAGGCACCTCCAGGTCATGTCCCCAGAGGCACTCTAGGAGACATGACCCACCAAATGTCTCCTAGACATTAAATCCACCAAATAAACTAAAATGCCTCGCGATAATCCCCATTATAGTTCCTTTATCTAGCAATATTCCCAAGTTGAACCCTAATCCTAGGATTAGTTTCACAAGTTCTTACTTTTGTTAGGTAAGATTTTTTTCAAAATTGCCATCACTCCTCTCCTGCGTCTTTAGAGTGTCTTGGCTCCCGCTTCCCATCATATCTACCTACGAAAGTTAGAATCTGTTGGCTCATATTAAACCTGTCACAATTACATCCTTCTCACACATATGCCTTTCCAATTTATTCTTGAAAGATGTTAAACTGCCCGTCCTGATAATGACAGTTATCAACTCATTCAACTCACCCACACCACTATTTTCAAACCGGTACTTCCATCTAGCCTTGCTAGTGTACACAGTACCCATCCCAGCACCGTACTCACCGTCCAGAGTGGTGGCAGAGAACATACCATTAAGGTGAGGTCCTCGGAGGTGGGTCCCAGAGTGCTCAGGTTCTCGGAGTCGTCCTCGGCTCTGCTGTAGATGAAGGACGTGCCTCCCGCCTCCACCTCACCAGGCCAGTCGATCAACCAATCACCGTTCAGCATGTACTTGGTACCCGCCTTCAGAGCTGCCGAACGGCACCATAAGGTAAACACATACTCAGACGTATTCACGAACGTAAATAAGGGCCGGGCTTAATGGAGCCGCATGTAAATACAAGGATTGGCTGTCAGTTGTAAAGGATTGTTGCAATTGATTGAGTCACCTTGAACAAATTCTATGGCTGTTAGCGTGTGGTGGAGTTAGTGCCATCATGAGGAAAGCATGGTAGCAACCCTGGAAACACAAACCGAAACTGTCTCTATTTTCCGCTTGTTACAACTTGTAATAAAATTGTTACATCTTGGCTTAACGTGTTTATGACGCATTAGAACGTTGTTACAACTTGATATATTGGTTGTTATAACTGGTTAGGAGGTGTTAAAACGTATTCGAACGTTATAGCAACGTCATAGTTTCGGTGTGTGTTTGGCGGGAAGTCCTATAGGGACAGCTCAGGTAATGGGGTGGGCCCACGGGCGAGAGGGTCTGGCTCCTATCACTCTTGGAGCCAGACCTCCACCTCATGGTAGTGTGACCTGAATCTTGCACAATGTGACTGAGAATTTGTGGATCCGAGAAAGGAAGAGGAGGCGCGGAGGAGAAGAAAGAGAGATTGGAAGACATACAGGGAGCACAGAACCCAGGTGAACCAAAACATACGTAAAAGGGAGAGGAATAAATACATAGGAACCTGAAGAAAAGCAGAGAAGCAGTACGAGGACGATATCGCCTCCAAGGCCAAGGATCAACCTAAACTGCCGTGTAGACTTATAAGGAGAAAAATATGGGAAAGGCATAAAGTGGTCAGGCTTACACAAAGGAACCGGGACCACACAAACACACACACACACACACACACACACACACACACACACACACACACACACACACACACACACACACACACACACACACACATATGATAGAGCCCAGTAGGCTCAGGAACCTGTACACCTGTTGATTGACGGTTGAGAGGCGGGACCAAAGAGCCAGAGCTCAACCCCCGCAAGCACAATTAGATGAGTACACAAATACACTTACCTAGGAAATTTGGGGAGGCGTCTCTAACCCTGACGTTGGTGGCGCCTCTGGGGATGTGGGCGACCTCGTAGTACCCGAAGCTCCCTGTGGGGAAGTCACACCATATTGAAGGCCCAGACCCAGGCGTGGCAGGGTGCGGCAGGGTGAGAGAGTATGTGGCAGGGGCGTGACAGGGTTGTAGGAGGATGTGAAACGGTGTGACAGGGGGGTGTGGGAGGGTGTGAAAGGGGCGTGGAAGGGTGTGACAGGAGTGTAGGAGGGTGTGATATGGTGTATTAGGGTGTGGAAGGGTGTGCAAGGGGTGGAGGAGGGTGTGGAAGAATGTGACAAGGGTGGAGGAGGGTGTCGAAGGGTGTGACAGGGTGTATTAAGGGTGTGGCAGGGTGTGACAGGGGTCATGGAATGGTGTGGGAGAGCGGGTTGGACCTGACCAGGTTATGCACAGTTGTAGCCAGCTTGTGTAGCAACAACAATGAGGTTGTAAACAAACGTTATTTACAACTGAGGTTGTAAACATACACCTGCCAGGAGCCAGCCTGGGTGTCACACACACACTCGCAGACAATCCACTAATGCATCAGATCTGGTATATCGTAAATGTTTTAACTAATAAATTGAGCTGACTCAGTTTGCAATACTAAGAATAATGCACACAGTTTATGTATATGTATATTATATATATATATATATGACACCCTATATGCCAACTGGCTCTTCATAAGAGTGACCTATACATGTAGCACTGCCTCATACACTTGTCTGGCTCAGTGTATGAAAGCATGCGTGTTGGTAAACAAGAGCTGGGTCTTGATTGTGGGGCTTCAACACAGGTAAATGAACTTAGCTGTCAGCGGTGGGCGTGCGTACTCACTTGGGCGTGCGGCGCGGGCGTGGGCGAGGGCGGACGGCTGGTCGGCGGCGGGCAGGTCGGTGTGGAAGACGCCCACATGGTGGGTGCAGGTGTCGTTGTGTCCTCCACACACGCGACACATGTCCTCTCTGGCGCCGCCGCCAAGACGACCGTCGCACGACAGCCGCTGCGGAGGATGGGACAGGATATAGCGGTTATACTCCCGTGCGTCGCGCCGCTGCCATAGGGGGCAGGATATAGCGGTTATACTCCCGTGCGTCGCGCCGCTGCCATAGGGGGTTCAAGTTCAAGTATGTTTATTGAGACAAGAAAGAAATACATCTCAAAGGGATAGAGTAGCTTAGGCTATTTCTAACCCCCGATATAGCGGTCATACCTGCGTGGCGCCGCTGTCATATGACATCAACTTTGACCCAAGAATTCCTGAAGCATGTGGAGTGAGTTCTGGGGATGCGGCCCCCGACCTGGGGGCGCGCCTCGCCATCATACACAAGACTGATGATAAATACAGCAGCTCACTCCTTGTATGATCAATGGTCGTCCTTATCAACATATTATTTAAATGTTCCTGATGTATCTCGCCGTCCAGGTAGTGTACACACTCATCATGAAGGAAGGTAGTAATAAGATTGCTCTTCAAGACACTCATATTTGAAACCATTGCCGCCTCTGAAAAACTTATCATCCCACCAACATTTTGTCTACATTAACTATTTATTCCAATGGTGACTAGAACGCACAACACCAGTTTGTAGGTGTTTTAGAAATAACACAGATCATCTGTGTCGGGTTAAACAACTTACAGTTGTTTAAGTGTTTACACAAACTACATAAACAGCTACACTACAACTTGCTACCCGTTCACTAACACTGGAGTAATTTTCTGTGATTCAAAGTCTGCTACTGAACTCCTGAAGCACTTTAAAATTTATCGTGCTCGATAAACAGCAAAAACCTCAAACTAAGAATCGTAAGTAACGTGCTCTCAAGAGACAATAATGGGTTGAGAACCCCCTTGTATAAATACCATCTCCCACAAATATATCTCACCATAATGACACAGACATGGCAGCCACATTAGCACGCAACAAAGATCTACAACTTGGCATCCCGCGTAAGATTATATATCTCCAAACATTGGGGTCTGACAGGAGGTAAACAATCTCCCAGAGGTCTGAAAGCGCTAGTATAAACATTGATGATTTGTTTACACCTCATACTGTGGGCCCCCATGAAATGTTTACTAAAAAGTTTGTGGTAGTAGCTACCAGGGGGACGCTACGAGGACCAGGTGAGGCTACGAGGACCAGGTGAGGCTACGAGCACCAGGTGAGGCTACGGGCACCAGGTGAGGCTACGAGCACCAGGTGAGGCTACGAGCACCAGGTGAGGCTACGAGGACCAGGTGAGGCTACGAGGACCAGGTGAGGCTACGAGGACCAGGTGAGGCTACAAGGACCAGGTGAGGCTACGAGGACCAGGTAAGGCTACGAGGACCAGGTGAGGCTACGAGCACCAGGTGAGGCTACGAGCACCAGGTAAGGCTACGAGGACCAGGTGAGGCTACGAGGACCAGGTGAAGCTACGAGTACCAGGTAAGGCTACGAGGACCAGGTGAGGCTACGAGCACCAGGTAAGGCTACGAGGACCAGGTGAGGCTACGAGCACCAGGTGAGGCTACAGGTGGCGCCCATCTCGCAAACCTGAGCACTCACTCCACCCGCACACTCCGTGAGCAGGAAGAGAGTCGTAACCTTACACACAACATTATTGGTTGTACCGTCATTATAGACCCTTCAGACCTGCCGGCGTGAGGTACCCGGAGCCTTGCAATTACTTTATCAACGCTCCTGTTGTTTAGGCTATCTTCATAATGCATCCCAAGTTTGCAAGTGCAACCTGTTCACGTGCGCCCTTGTCCATCCTGCGAGATGGGGTGGGGCTTTAGGGGAGTTCCAGGGATGAACGTACGCTTAATTATGATCACAGTGACGCTAAAAGAGGACGACAGCGGCGGTGGAATACTCACCAGACAGCGGCCGTTGACACACAGGCCGTCCTGAGAGAGGTCCGTCCTGCAGTGAGTGCCGTCCGTGACCTTGCCGAAGGTGTAGACGATGCCCTCCCCTTCGCCCTCACACACCAAGGCACAGGGGTTGATGCCTCCTGCACCACCGCCACCATGAAACACAAGGAAGTACATTGTACAGTCATCTTCGCCACCCCGCCTGTGTCGGGTTACTCTCCCACCCTCACACTTGGTGGGTCACTCTCTCTACTGTGTCTTCCACTACATCAACCACTCTCTCACTACCCTAAACCTTCACTCACTAATTCTTCAGTGGAGACGTCTTCAGAGTCTGGTAAGAAATCGACAATAATCTGTAAGGCCTCTAGGCTTGTGGTAGATGGTGTACACTCGTATAATGTTGTTACATGACGCCCAGTGACTGCTACCTAACACAACGGAGGTTCAGGGTCACGGAGGAATGTGACAGTAAGGATGTATATTATAAACTGAAGAATATAATACACGCGATTATATTCTTTCATCAGGAATTCTCTCACTCTACTGAAGGTATCTCTCACTATCTTTATGGCATCCTTGGCTATCCTCAATACATGCCTCACACTCTCCCTTAAGTATTACATATAAAGATACCTGGAACACACAGATAAGTACCTCACTGTCAAGGTCTCTCATAATCTTCAAGTTCTCATTATCCACTAGACATCTATATCTCATTATACAGACGATACAGTCATTATTCTCAGCGTCTCCTGCTGGCGTCGAGGCGTTGCCGCTCACCTTGCGCATAGGGCACCCAGTTGTTGACGAGTCTGCCGAAGACGCGCCTGTTGTTGTAGTGCCGGCACTGTGCCGCCCTGAAGGAGAGGGCGGAGACCTGGCCGGGCGGGCAGGGGGCCGCCCCACACACCCCGTACTCCAGACTCTGCCCACTGCACTGGTCGTGGCTCGTCCGGATCCCCGACCCAGGCATCACTCTGTGTGTGTATGTGCAGGTTACTGATACTCCTGCTGCTTGGCGGGATAGTCAAGGGTCTAGGT